AAGGGGGGAAGGGGACAAGAGAGTAGGGGAATGATAGAGAGGAGGGCAGATTGGGAAAGGGAGTAATCAGAAGTAAATACTTCTGAGGAGGGACAGGGTCAAAAGAAAGAATAGAATAAATGGGTGGGTGGGACAGGATTAAGGGAAATAGAGTTAGTTTTTCACAGCATGTCTACTATGGAAGTGTTTTGCATAACTGCACATATATGACCTATATTTAGTTGCTTGCTGTATCAGTGAGGGTAGGTGGGGAGGGAGGGAGAAAATTTGGATCCCAAAGTTTTGAAAACACATGTTTAAAAAAAATGTTTTCACATGCAACTGGGAAATAAGAAATACAGGAAATGGGGTACAGAAATCCATCCTGCCCTACAGAAAAATTGAAGGGGAAGGGGATAAGAGAAGGGGGGGAGAGATAGAAGGGAAGGCAGACCAGGGGAAGGGGTATTTAGAATGCATGCCACCTTGGGGTGGGGGGGAGGGGTGAGATGGGGTAAAAATTTGGAACTTAAAATCTTGTGGAAGTAAATGTTGAAAACAAAAAAAAATAAAAAATTTTAAAAAATATGTATTTGGTCTATATTATTGATGATGTTTTAAAAGTTGTGAATGGATTAAGCTGTATAAGCAAGGAACTACCACATATATGTGAACAGTTTAATGTTATCAAAACCTAGGTTTATTTTGTGCATTTAATGATACACATAGTTATTATTGTGATATATGGTAATTTGGCATAAATGATAAGTTGTTCATGTAGATGGATATTTAATGTCACTCTTCCTGTAGCCAGAAGAAAATTTGGAGTAAACTGGGGATTATAGAAGAGTACCTCAGAAGCTGCTCTTTTAAATGTATAATTCAGGGAGATACAGGTAATTGATCCTTTCTGATTCTCCAGAAGGGGGCACTAATGTCCAGGTGTACAGAGACCTGAGCACCACAAACTTCTTTCTCATTCCTTTCCCCAAAACTGCTCTTAAAACCCTTCTTTTGTTGGAGGGAGGAATCTGCTGCTTTTTGTCTGGAAACAGAGGTCTGAGTTCCTCAGCTTAATCTCTGGCAGGTAATAAAGGGATATGACACCCATAACAGGGAGAGAGGATGCTGCCTTTCTTAAGCCAAACCGTACAGGAGATCTCTGTGTCTGGCTGGCTTTCAGTATTGGAGGTGGCTGCACCTGTCAGCCAAGGGCTTCTGGAAGATAGCCATGGGTGTCAGAGAAGCAGGAAAGGCCTAGCAACCTGGGTCTTTTTGGAGCTAAGCAGGAAATACAAGGAAGTATTTTCTCTCTTGGTTTTGGCTTAGTTTGGGAAAGAATTTTCCCTATCTTCACATTTTCATATTGTTTTTAACTAAATTTTAAAGGATAAAACCTTTCATCTAGATGCCAGAGGTATAAGCAATCCTCAGCTTATGGATTAATTTTTTAAACATAGTTCTATAAGTTGGTTATTTCAATGTTAGAACCATTTCCCCATAGACCAATATTTTAAGTGGTAGTTAGATTCAGAGGGGAGTACACAAAAGCCTATATAATTCATGCACTTGAAATATATTACCAGTTGACTAGCTATTGTTTGACCTTGGGTAAGTCACTTAATATTTCCATCTCATTTTCTTATTCTGTAAAAAAGAGGGGTTGGAGGGGGCAGCTAGGTGGCACAGTGGATAGAGCACCAGCCCTGAAGTCAGGAGGACCTGAGTTCAAATCTGGCCTCAGACCAAACGCTTGACACGTACTAGCTGTGTGACCTTGGGCAAGTCACTGAACCCTGATTGCCTCACTAAATATATATATATATGAAGAGAGGTTGGACTAGATAATCTTTAAGGTTTCCCTAAAATTCTTTGATTCTGCTTATAGCATTAGTTGATTAGTTGAAGGAACTAAGCTTCTTTAGCATGGAAAAGAGGAGATTCAGAAAGGATATGATAGCTATCTTTCAAGTATTTGAAGCCTTGTTATATGGTAGACGGTTAGATTTATTCTCTTTGGCTCCGGAGAATGAAACTAGGGGCAGTGGGTGAAAGTTACAGAGAGGCCAATTTAGGCTCGTTGTCAGGAAAAACTTCCTAATAATTGGAGCTATCTGAAAGTGGAAAAGGCTACCTTAAAAGGGGATAAATTCCTCCTCCTTAGAGGTTATAAGGAAGAGACTGAATGACATTTTTCAGGCACGTTACAGTGGAGATTCCTTTGTATAAGTTAAACTAGATAGCCACTGGTATTCCTTCCAACTCTCAGATTCTATGATTCTGTCATAATATTTTTTTCAATGACTACCTAACCACCAGTAGGATTTGAGGGAAAAATTCATTCCAAGTTTCAGATCATAATATCATATGATTTAGAGCTAGAAATCTTCTAATTCTTCTTCATTTTACAGATAACACAGTTAGTTTCTTTCAGATAGAGAAACTGAGATCCACTGTGATAGTTACTTGCCTGAAGTTGTATAGGTAATAAGTAGTAGAACTGGAGTTTAGAATAGGCCCTCTGGCTCCAAATCAAGTGTTCTTTAGTCAGGACTGTGGACCACAGTTTTATCTTTGGCAATAGGAGCTCCTCTGACGAGGGCAAGAGCAAAGTAAATAGTGATATTATTGCTGGACATGACATAGACTGTGAAATATATGTGTGCGTATTTATACATATGTATATATACACACATATATGTATGTATATATAAGGGGCAGCTAGGTGGCACAGTGGATAGAGCACCAGCCCGGAAGTCAGGAGGACCTGAGGTCAAATCCGGCCTCAGACCAAACACTTGACCCGTACAAGCTGTGTGACCTTGGGCAAGTCACTTAACCCCGATTACCTCACAAAAAGAAAACAAAACAAAACAAAATATATGTATGTATATACACACATGTACACATAGTATGAAAGTACTTTCTTGGTTGATAGCTGAGTTGTTTTGCATCGGGAAACAAAGGGCAGAACTAACACTGGTGATCCAGGCTAGCATCTTGGGAATGTAATTTCTGAAGGGGAAAAGTTGTAATTTCTTCTACCAGGGCATATGTTTCCCACCTTGCACCAGACCTACTGATCCACTCCTTCACCCTGCCTAGGGCTACTATTCCCTTAAGATCCTGTGGCTGTATTATCCGTCTCCCAGGGCACCTTCTGACAAAGGTGAGGCAGATGGCATTTTTCTTCACCCCCTCCTCCATGCTCCAGGCTGGAAAAACAGAATCATCTGAGGGGGGATCAGTAGTAAATGCATTGGCAGGATACTGCTGCCCCTATTCCCTGATAGTTTAGACCAGGGTGGGGAACCTGTGACCTCAAGGCCACATGTGACCATCTAGGTCCTCAAGTGTGACCCTTTAACTGAATCCAAATTTTACAGAACAGATCCCCTGCATAAAAGGATTTGTCCTGTAAAACTTGAACTTAGTCAGAAGGCCACATGTGGCCTTGAGACCACAGGTTCCCCACTGCTGGTTTAGACTGTGAAGTCAGCCTTTGCTGTCTCCTAGGCATTATCATTTTCTTTTCTCCATTTCCCCCGTGCCACTAGATAACCTTCCTCTGTTGTGGTGAAGTAAAAAATGATTACTGGATTTAGGGTTGGAGGACTTGAGTTCAAATCATAGCTCCTATACTTAATACCTATGTTATCTTGGGCAAGTCATTTCACTTCTCTGGGCCTTACTCTCCCATATGTAAAAGAGGGGTTGTGATTAGGTGACCTCCAAGGTCCCTTCCAGCTCTAAGTCTATGATTCTAGATCCCTTTCTCTCAAATTCCTTTCATTTTCCTGTGGCTGCTGAAAACTAGCTTTTTTCTAAAGACACCTATTTGGCACCTTCTCCAAGTCCAGCATTCTTTCTTTCACACTTCTCTTGAAGCTTAGAGTTAAGAGGGAGGAGTTGGTATACTCTGTGCTCTCCACTGCTATTCTTCAGATCTTTCTTCTGCCACCATCACTTGACAACTGTGCCTTTTAAAATTCCACTTAGTCTGTCCAGATCATTGTTGCTGACCTTTATGGACCTTCAGGTCTCTGTCCTTCTTTCCCATTAAGTTCAGTATTTAGCTCAATGAACAGTGCATTATATATAGTAAACACTTAATAAATGCTTGTTGCCTTTTCTATCCCAACACCTTCCCTACTTAGAATACCCTAAACTCTTAGTTCCTCAGCCTTCTCAACACTCATTTCCTTAGTTTCTCCCCTCTCCACCACAGCTTTCTGCTTCATCTGAATTTGTCCCAGGTGCTAGAATTTCTAGTTCTAGTTCTAGTTGCTCCATGATGGACAGGGGCCCTAGAATGGGAGTCCCCCACTATTTGTATGGATAGGGTATTTGTAAATTGAGTAAATGATCTTTCATTTCCAACGCATGGAGTCAGGAACTACTTAATATATGGTGCTGGCATTTGTAATATAACCATCTAGTAGGATGCCATGTTCTGGGCGAAGCCATGTGATTGCCACTAGTTTAAATCTGTCTTTTAGAAGGTAACTTTTATGTTTTTACCCAGAATTTACTGAAAGCAGTTTCAAACTGGAGAATAATTTCGGTATTCCTATATATTGAAATATAAGACTTTTCTTCACAAAATCTTTACACTTTTAAACTTTAATAACTTATAGTAATTATGTGCAACATTTAAAAAGAAATATATTAAATTTAGGACAATTATATGGTCCCTCAGAAGGTAGTCTCATTTTAGATTCTGTGACAAATGAAAAAAACCTACCATACAAAGAACTATGGTTATCAGAATTACATAATTGGAGTCTGTATCACCTCTGATAAAAATGTTTAATTTGCCTTTATGTGTAGCTTATAGGTCATTTCTATTGTGACTCTAACCTAAGTAAAATTTAAAAACTATACAGGGATATTTTATGAGGATGCTTTATATATTTTATAATATGTGTAATTACTGTCTCTCACCGAAGAATTTAAACATACAAATATACGGTATTCTTAGAGGAAATACCTGATTTTTTCTCTTCTTTTATGTTTTCCAGATCTATCAATTAAAGGAAGAAATAGCTGGTCTACCAGGATGGGATCTATTGTTTGGGAATGTGGTTAATCAACTTGACATGTTAGTCAAATGCAATCTATATAATAAAATGAAAAGAAAAGACAAGATGATGTCATTTACCTGTGTTGTGAAACGAAAAACAAATGCCTTTTATCAGATGAGGTTAACAAAGCTCTGTCAATGCAAAGAATATTTAACTGTTTGCAAAGCTTAACACCAAGAAGTAAAGAAGTATTTTCAAGCAGATACCTGCAGGTGCATGATATCTAAAATTATATTTCATAGGCCTATTTATCTGAATATTATTCAGATCCAAGAAGGATGGCTATAAGTTGGATATTCTCCTATCTTTGGTCCATGACTATGTTTGTGGGGTATATAAGTGGGCACAGTTTATTTTCTTGTGAGCCTATCACCTTGAGGATGTGCCAAGACCTGCCTTATAATACTACCTTCATGCCTAATCTTCTGAATCATTATGATCAACAGACAGCAGCTTTAGCAATGGAGGTAAGAATGGTTTTAAAATTACTTTGATATATTGCTCTGTTATTTGTATAGAGTCACACACATATATACAACTGTAACACGTAATACATATAAAGTACATGTGTACATACACATACATACTATCTAATAAGAAAAATACATATCACTTTTGGTTTTTAGTATTCTACATGATTGTTTCATTATCTTTTAAAATTTATATTTGACTTAAATTATGTAATAGATTGAAGAGTATATATGGGAAGTATTTGTTGATTCCTTGTGATGTGTTTTTAAATGGTGATTTAAAACCCTTGGATAGAGCAGAGATTCTTTAACCATTTAGAAGTTAAAATATAGCTACAGAAGCACTACTATACCTTTATGTTAAGTTATATTATTTTTATCTTGTAAGTTGTGTGTTTTACTAGACTAGTTTAACTATTCAGGTAAATGGAGATGGAAAAGGTTATCTTCATTTGTCAGTCATGATATGGATTGTCATTAAGTTTGTTGATTCTGAAAAATGAATATCTTGTTTTAGTTACCAAGTAGATGGTTTAAAAAAATTTCAATTTTCTTAAATAGTTAACATATTCATTAGTTTCTGGTCCATAACCATTTCCACAGAAACAAAAAGGACTACCTCAAACATCTGAACTAGATGATACCAGTGGAGTTGTCAATTGAATTAAAATTACTGTGTCATTGTAAAAAAATAACTTTATTAGGATTCTTGTTGAATTTTAAAATAATTCTTTAGGTAATTCCCATAGTGGTTTTTATCTTTTTACATCTTTTTCAACTGAGAGAACTAAATGAGTATTTTTCAGTAACATCTGAGTAACTAGCAAGAGAGCATATCTGAATATATAAACCTTTTATATATTTTATATTATAGACAAGTATGCATTTTCTTTTTTACTAGCAGTGTAAGAGCTGGACCTATTTAAATTTTGATATGAAAGTAAACATATTAGTGAAAATCTGTTTATTATGAGAATATGTTTTGTACTTTGGCTTTTATTCACTTCATGTAATGATTTCAAAAGTTTAAATCCTATTGTTTTTTTACTTATTTTGGAAAGTCAGTATTCTCTTAGAAGCTTAAAGGCACATTACTTTAGTAAGTGAAAATTCTACTTGAGAATTGGGTTTGAAAAAAAGAAATGAGAAGAATTATTAGCAGTCATTCTAAAACAGATCGATTAGCATCCTGTGATTGCCATGAGAACTACTCACTTTCTTCAGTTCATCCAACACCTTCTCCTCTCCACCCCCACCCCTCAAAAAGACTCACAATCATCTGAAGAGGAACAGTTACTGTTTGTTTAGATTAGAAGAATCACTCTGACCCAGTGAAATATTATTCTTTAACCAGTGGGGAACCTTTTAATATTAGATTGGACGTATTACCATATTGTTTAAAAACAACAACAGAATATAGGTAGATTAAGGGTGGTTAGAAATGACTAAAGTACTAATTGGTAATTTTCAGTTTGAATATAGTATTTTCCTGATGAAAAGAAGTTGTTCATTGTTGATACTCTTTTTACCCTTCTACCTACCTATTGAGATGAGATCCATGATTTATGGGTGGTAGAAGTTAAAGGTACATGGAAAGAAACAACGTAATTAACTAAGTGCTTCTCTAGAGAAAAACACCAAAGGCTGAGGATGCAGCCTTTATATCAGACAATAACCTATCTGATTTGATGTGAAAGCTCCATTGTCTCATTGAGAAGTTTTCATTGAGGTGTTCTTAAGTCCTTACATTTCTGCAGAATTTATTTTTGTTCCATGGCATTAAGGTTTAATATTTTCTGCAGATTCACCCTAAATGCTAGTAGCACTTGAGTAGAGATCAATCATCCCTTGGAGTTTGGAGTCTGAATCATAGAGCACTAATAGCAAAGGTAAATTCAGCAGAGGTATTATTTCCTAAAACCAGTGTACCTAATCATTCTCTGGGTCAGTGAACTCTTTATAACGGAATGATGCCTTTATTCTCCTCACTGAAGAGTCACCCTATGTTCCTGGAGCTTAGTACAGTTCCTGGCACATTGTAGCAATTTTATGATACTTGTTCATTGATATGTTTTCCTGAGATACGGTATGTTTTGACACTGTTGGAATTTTTAACTAGTGGTTATTTCCCCAACGGCATATACATAGTTAACTACAAACTAGTTGCAACGTACGGCTAGGATTATGTCCTCGTTTCTGTCTTCTGTTAGTTTTATGTGTTTTTGTAAATACCATGGTATTCCAATCTGTAGCTCAAAGACTATATGACTGAATATAGAAAGCCAGAGTAGTCTACGTGTTACTTAGTTCAGCCTGGCTGAAGGGCACCCTCATTATGGATTCTAAGTCTTGGTCCAAGAAGTAAAGTGCCCTTGATAACTGTAGGTTCTCCCCAAATTTCCTTTTATGGCCCTCTATTTTCATAGAACCATGCAACCAGAGGATTCCATAGGAACTGGGATCTTCCTACCATATGTCATGTTGCCTGGAAGCTTGGATCTGTAGTCCTGGCCTTTTGTTATAGGGAAGATAAAAGTCATGAACATTTTTTAGATGCCTGTGAGAAATTGTTTCAAACTGTGTGTACACTATATATGAAACTGTGTAGGAATGTTTGTGTATATGTGTGTCTATGCCTTGTGAAATCTCTGGATATGGTATATTTCTGTGTGTTTTTGTGAAAGTGCGGTTATGACAAGAAAAATTGGCATTGTAATGACTAGAGTAAATATATGATGGTTTGTTTGTTCCAGATGATGGTGGGTATATGTATATAACTCCTTCTGTGGTTTGTGTGTGTGTGTGTGTGTGTGTGTGTGTGTGTGTGTGTGTGTGTGTTCATTGTCAGTGTTTCTCAAACAGGGCTTAAAATGCTGCCTTAACTTTGTGGCCTTTCCTTCCAGAGCTGTTTTTTTTTTTTTAAGTTCTCTAGCAGTCTTCCTTGTTTTTTTCCCCCCTTGCTATAGTTGTTTTGTTTTGTTTTGTTTTAATTTTATTTTATGTTATTTTCACTTCTGAATTTTCTCCCTCTCTCTGCCTCTCTTCCACTCATTAAAAAGACAAGAAAAATAAAAGCTAATAAAATTATATAAAGTCATGCAAAACAAATTCTGGTATTCATTGAGATGGGGGGAAGGAAGGAAAAGTAGAAAGAAAGAAACAAAAAAGAAAATATGCTTCTTGGGAGGTGAATAGCATATTTCATCATGAAATTCCTTTGGAATTGTGGTTAGTCATTATGTTGATCAGTGTTGCTAAGTCTTTCAAATTTATCTTCATAATATTACTCTTATCATATAAATTGTTCACTTTGCATTACCTCATACAAGTCTTCCAGGTTTTCCATCATTTCTTACAGCACAATAGTATTCTGTCCTTGTATATATACCTTGTATATATTAATATATATAATACCATATATATTCTATATAATATATGGTATGTATACCTTAATATTCATATAACTTGTTCAGCCATTTCCCAATTTATAAGCATCCTTTCAGTTTCCAGTTCTTCAACATCACAAAAAGAGCAGCTATACATATTTTTGTACATATGGGTACTTTTTCTTTTATGTCTTTGGAGTATAGGTGTAGTAGTGACATCACTGGATAGTCAAGTTTAATAGCTTAGGAGGCATAGTTCCAAATTGCTTTTCAGAATGGTTGGAACAGTTCACAGCTGTTGCACAAAAGTGCATTAAAGTACTAGTTTTTCCCACAACCTCTCTAATTTGTCATTTTCCTTTTTTGTCAATTTAGCCAATCTAATGGGTAACTTAAGAGTTGTTTTAATATGCATTTCTCTAATTACTAGTGATTTAGAGCTTTTTTTCATGTAGCTATTGATAGTTTTTTTTCTTTCTCTGAAACCTTCCTAGTCACATCTTTTGACAATTTATCAATCAGGGAATAGCTCCTATTCTTATGAATTTTACTCAGCTCCTTATATGTTTTAGAAATGAGTTCTTTATCAGAAGAATTTACTGCAGTTTTTTTTTTCATTTTCCTGCTTCTCTAATCTTAGCTGCATTGGTTTTGTTTGTGAAAAAGTATCCATTTTACCCCCTGTGAACCTCTTTATCTGTTATTTGGTCATGAACTCTTTCCCCATCCATAGATTTGACAGGTAATTTCTTCCATGGACCACTAATTTGCTACTGATATCACCCTTTATTCTAAATCACAGACCTATTTTGAGTTTATTTTGATATATGGTGAGTAAATATTGGTCCCAGTTTCTACCAGACAATTTTTACAGTTTTTCTAAAAGTTTTTGTTCACTCTTGAGTTCTTTTCCCAGTAGTGGGTATCTTTGGGTTTTTCGAAAGCTAGATTACTGTGCTCATTTGCTTCTGTACATGATGTACCTAATCTGTTCCACTGATCAACCTTTCCATTTCTTGCTCAGTACCAAATTATTTTAATGATTACAACTTTGTAGTATAGTTTGAGATCTGGCACTGCTAAGTTCCCTTCTCATTTTTTTTTTGTTTTTAAATTGATTCCTTGGATATTCTTGACCTTTTGTTTTTTCTGTGTAATATAGTAGTTTTCTTCTGGTTCTATTAAGTAATCCTTTGATAGTTTGATTGGGATGGCATGGAATAAGTAAATTAACTTAGTATGGTAATTTTTATTATGTTGGTGCAACCTACCCATGAGCAATTAATATTTCCCCAATTATGCAGAGCTGCCTTTATATGTGTAAAGAGTATTTTGTAATTATGTTCATGTTATTTCTGTGTTTGTCTTGGCAGGTAGACTCCCAAGTATGTTATGTTGTCTGTAGTTATTTTAAATGGAATTTCTCTTTCTATTTTTTCCTGCTGGATTTTGTTGCTAACATATTTATATCTTGCAACTTTGCTGACATCATTGTTTCAATTAGTTTTTTAGTTGACTCTGCAGGGATCTCTAAGTCATCATATCATTTTCACAAGTGATCATTTTGTTTCTTCTTTGCTTATGCTTGATCCTTCACTTTCCTTTTCTTGG